ATAATCCCTAATATAGTACTTAATATTTTTATTAAAGGCGCTGAACTATCTAACTATATCTAACTATCGAACTATGAGTATGGCTATCAAGAGCTATATCATTGTGAATCATTATAAAATGCAAATATTTAGAAAATTAATTTTATTCTTATATTTCTACATTGTAAGATTACACCAACTCCCATTTCACTTTCGTATACATAAAAGGACAAATATTAATAATTATGCTTTATGTGAGAATTAGTATATTTGTAGCATTTTGGAATAATGTGTAAATTTTGCAAAGAAAGCTTTGCAGATTTTCATGAGATACTACCCAAAATTCAATCAACATCTGAAAAGCTACAATCACAAAAAAATCTTTATAAATTATGATAATAGTATTTATTTGTTGTTCGACCAATACGCAATATCACAAAGAAAGCAATAGAAAGAAGAAAATATAAAGTTTTCAAATAATTTTTGCAATTGTAACTTTATATATTGAATTTATGCTGAAATTTGTACATTAATTAGAAGTTATAATTGTGTATAAGGTTACACAAAAAATAACATATAAAATATGCTTCAACTAACAACTAGAATATTTATATTTGTAGTCTTAATTTATAAGTTATTTATTCAATAAGAATTTGTAGCAAACAATTGTATGACTAGCATCTGGCCTTAGGAAGCCAATAAATAAATAAATGAAAAAAAGAGCTAAATTTGTGAATTTTTTTCATTTTCAGATTTTCATTAGCTGTTTATACTACTACTTAATATTGTATAAATTAATCAGAATCTAAAAAGCTAAAGTTATGTAGTTCTTTAAAAATGTTTCTTTATAAAATATGATAGTATTTATTGGTTATTTACCAAACACGCAATATTAAGAAGAAACATACAAACATACTAAAAAATACCATCTAGCTTTCAAATAACTCTTGCAACGCAACTAGGGTAAATTTGAAACTCAAAATTTTACTGGAAAAATATGTAAAATAAACAAAGATTTTCCTGACTTATAAATAGAATTTTCTTAAGACTAATAAACTAAAACCCACGTGAAAATGATTTGTAAATTTCCCAAACAATGCGGTCAATAGCGGTTTGTATATAAAACACATATCCGCCCATGGCGAGTACAAATATCCGTTTGGCAGATATTGCTTACGTGACGCAATGGGAGCAGAACACTCGAACCCAACTCATAACAAGGACGTTGATAGAATTTTTACTTAAAAATTAAATAAGGCAGAGGAATATATTGTTTCTACCTAAAAGTAACTGACAGATTTGAGTATCAGGTAGATTTTCCTGAATTTCCTAAAGAACCAAGACTATGGGGCCGATCCTTCGTAAAATTGACCAATGTTATGGCATGACTACGTTATGTAGCATTTTTCATACAAAATGGTACTAAATACTATCAAAAGCCATCTAGTTGCTATGCAGTCGGGAGTTTTAGATAAAAAAACCTAACCTAGAAAACGCATAAATATCAAAAAACGATGTTATAATAACTTCATCTTTGTGGTGTGTGGCTTAATATGAGTATGTGTGAAACGCCTGATTTCACAACAAATTTATAGCATTTTGACAGTATTTAGTATCTTTTTCTATGAAAACTACTACGTAACTTATTATATAAAATAATCAATAATAGTTAAGAACTCTAATCTTGAAGATAAATTCAGGCACTAAGTTCTCAATATTTAAAATAATGGCATTAAAATTTAGGTAGGAGCTTTTTAGTTATTCAATATTTTGACTAAAATACGGATACTCAATAAACGCTAAATAGGATCTCAACATAAATATCTCAATAAAAGCTAGATGGGATAATCAATAAAAGCTAAATAGGATCTCAATATAAATATCTCAATAAAAGCTAGATAGGATTCTCAATAAAAGCTGGACAGTTGTAAAAAAAATACTCATTAAAAGCTAAATAGGATCTCAATATAAATATCTCAATAAAAGCTAGATAGGATTCTCAATAAAAGGTAAATAGGATCTCAATATGAATATCCCAATAAAAGCTAGATAGGATACTCAATAAAAGCTAAATAGGATCACAATATAAATATCTTAATAAAAGCTAGATAGGATACTCAATGAAAGCTAAATATAATCTCAATATAAACATCTCAATAAAAGCTAGATAGGATACTCAATAAAAGCTAAATAGAATCTCAATATAAATATCTCAATAAAAGCTAAATAGGATCTGAATATAAATATCTCAATAAAAGCTAGATAGGATACTCAATAAAAGCTAAATAGAATCTCAATACAAATATCTCAATAAAAGCTAGATAGGATACTCATTAAAAGTTAAATAGGATTTCAATATAAATATCTCAATAAAAGCTAAATAGGATCTCAATATAAATATCTCAATAAAAGCTAAATAGGATACTCAACAAAGCAAAATTAGATTTCAATATAAATATCGCAAAAAGAGCTAGATAAGATCTTCAATAAAAGCTAAATAGGATCTTTTTGTATTCACTCAATTTCAAAATTATACAAATATTTCATATATTGTAATATATCTTTTTTGAAGTGAATTTTGAAATATACGAACATAGAATAAAATGAAATGATAATTAAAAACTTAGCCATTTCCTAAGTGAAGTTAAATTTTTATAGCTACAGGTATAATAAGACAAGTATTAGATGCAGCATATCATGAGACAGGTATTAGATTCTGAACCCATTATCTACAGATTTCAGTGATTTTAAATTCCTTATCTTTTACCAGTTTTAAATAGAGTATTTTATGACAATAATAAAGGTAAGTAATTTTACTATCAAATATCTGTCTATGTCCACTTGTTGATTTTATTCAATTACACGTGTTCGCTAATATGCAGTCGATTCGACATTCATGTGGATTTCTGTATTAACCTACCTCACCTCATATGTTTTATATTGGGTTCGTATACGTCATGGATAATTTTTTCAAGTTGACGTCCAGAAATAAAACATTTCATAGAATTCGATGATGATATTTATATTTCCATCTATCTATCTTCATATTTTTATCATGAATTTTTCTTACAACTTTTTACCCTAAATTAACAGAAATTGATGGTTCAAAATAAAGTTATAATGAAACCAAGTTGTATCAAGTATTTGTGCTTTTAGGTACAATATCCTATAATTATAATCTTTAAAAAAACTACGTTTTAATTAATGATCAAAAGATTCTTTTTCAGTAAAAATTGCTAACAATTCATAATGAAAAAAAAATACTTTAATCATTTTGTGTTTATCATGATTAGAAATTTATTCCACACATCGACAAAAAAAAATTATGAAGTGCAACATAATAAGAAAAACAATTTTGATCAATCGATAAGCCATCTGACGTTCACTTTGCATATTATATTCCATTATAAATATTTAATTTTTATTTGAAGTTATGTATCATCTTCAATTTTGATTTCTTATTTTACTCACTGTCTCCCATAAATATTAATTAGTAACACAGGTCCACAAAATAAAAAAAGTTGTCTTTATTGGATGTGCTCCATTTTTCAATAGGTCTAAATTCGTTTATAAGAGTAACTTGCAGTATCTTTTTAAGATATAATGCAATGCATTATATTTTTCATTCTATCAGTTGTTTCCATAATTTATAGCGTTCAATATTTAGTCAGAACAATGTAGAACTTACTAAGGGCCAACTGTTTCAATAAAGAGTGCACGTGCCCTTGCAACTAACGAGTCCTTTAAAAAACCGTTGGCAATATTTTAAAACTATATTTTTGCAACAATAGTACCTACTGTATCTGGGTGAATCTTATCAAAGGAACGCCCTTATTCATTGATTCCATTTTATCTGTATCATTTACCAGAATATCGTTGAGACCTGAACTCGTAAAACCTCCCTTGAGATTGCCAGCATAGAAATTTATTGGTGACAATCAGTACTGTATAGCAAATCGAAAATATTTACTATTCTATCGTCTATGGAAAAGATTCTAGAACGTTCTATTTATTGTATTTTTAATGAAATAATTGCTTCTGGGTACGCACTAAGGGCTTTGGTTAATTGATAATTTAATGTGGTCCATAGCATTTTTACATATGAAAACCATCACATCCTATCTATCCAAAAAGCAGAATCAATGAACCAAAGTAGCAACGTACCAGTATAAAAAACAACTAAAATAGAAAAATGCATCCGGATACATTAAATTAAAAATAATTTAATCAAATCACGTACCATATTTGAAATAAATCAGTATTTTCACAATAAACGTCACACGAAACATTTATGTAAAAAGCTCAATTCAAATAAAACAATCAAAGATATAAACGAATTCAAAAATACAAAGAGATTTTTCGTGGATTAGTAATTAGTGTGATCCGATTTCAATTAGAGGTTCCAGATTTAGTACTCGCCTCGGGCAACTTGATGTCAAGCAGTAGTGATATCGGTTTTCACTTCAAAATATAGATGTCAATACGTTTCCAAGTAAAAATATCCCTTACCAGCATTAACAAAAAAATCTCATATTTTCTTCATTCGTAGATTGAGAATCAACAGAAACGTACATATCATTTATTCGATACGTCATAGTTTTGTTGTAGGCGTAATTCGTTTGAATTATAACTAATTCTCGTGTGAATAGATCGTAATAGATAATTTCCATAATAAAAAATACTAAATCTTGTGAACAATCATAATAACGACACATCCTTCTAATTTATTGCAATTAATTAGGTGTTCTATATAGATATTTGTAGGACAAAATCGAAAGATCAATTTTTGACTAAGAGCAAATTTAACATTTTCTCGATGAATATAAATAAATTGGATATAACATTTTGTTATGCATGTATTAGTTAATATTTAAATACATACATATACATACGTTACAAAAAATTAAAATTACATATTCAAAATATATATTACATGCACTCTAAAGAAAACGATGGTTTGTTGATCTCAAATACCTTGTCAACATTTAATTAAAATCCTTGACACTTTCGGTTCCAATTTTTCATCCTATTACTACACCACATCCTAAGCGAAATTGGCTCTTCTGGTGGTTGAGTAGACCACTGAGGGCAAAGTTTACTGGCAAGGGACGAATTTTGGTTTCGAATACTGCGGAGGCATTCCAATTTGTGTCTATGGAACCTCGGAAGACCAGATCTGCAGCGGGCAAATCTACCTGAAAATAAAATAAAACTAGCTGTAAGTGGAATTCTGTCTTGAGGCAATTAGGGCATCGTGCCTTAAGGCAAATTGCTGAACTTCCCGTACCAAAAATTATTATTTTTTTTTAAAACGATTAACATTTTTGAAAAAAAATTACTTTGAAAAAATAAGATTTTTGAAAAACTATAAATTGGACAAAAAATTAGTTTTTTTTGAAAAAAAAAAATTTTTTTTTTTTAATTTTTTTAAAAAAAAATTTTTTTTTTTTGAAAAAAATTTTTTTTTCTTTATTTTGACATATTGTGGAAGATCTGAACTTTTTTTTCAAAGCAATCGTACTGCTTTAACTACATAGGGACAAAATATAAAGCGCGTAAGCGCCGCGTCGCTGTCTAACGCGTAAGCATTGGTACGGAACCGATAGGAATGTTAACAAAATGTATACTTATTGTTAAAATCTCTATAAAATGTCTGATAATTTGATGTGCATATGTCTAATGATCATTTTTGACCGCCAAATGGCTCATTTTTATACTTTTTCCTCTATATCTCCGAAACCGCTGGACCTACCTTCATGAAAGTTGTATCGATTCTTCATCTTGTCAATACAAATAAAATGTTTTTTAAATTATTAAAATCGGACGCTCCGTTCTCTTAAAAACTGAGTTACCGTTTTCGGAACTTTTTGCCCCGTATCTTCGGAACGGCTTGACCTGCCTTTGCCAAAAACTAATCAGCACGTCTCCTTATCAATACGGATCGAATGTTTTTTGAATTATTCAAATCGGTTGATCCGTGTTCCCGAAATCGTCGACGAAAATTTGTATCCGCACATACATACACACACATACATACATACATACATACACACACACATACACACACACACACACACACACACATACATCCATTTTTTCTAAGGTATGCCAAAATGTTCAGAAACTTCTGAAACGTAAAGATATATAAAAATTTTCATTTTCGATTTTTTTGCGATTACTATAACTTGCCCTACGGGAAGTTAATAAATTTAGAATCTCAAACAATGTGTATAAATATTAAAAATTGTAAGTGCAATAAATGAATCATTTGCAAAATAATATTTACTTGATATCCGATGGTGCCAACCGCTTCCTGCGATTTGAAATTAGTTTCAAATTCGGCTGAAATTTGAAGTTGTTCACTCGCCTTCCTGTAAAAGCATAAATGCAATCCTGTTTGGCCAAAAGTTCCAGACAATGATACTATTCCATTTTCTATACGTGCTGCACCGGCGAAAGCAGCTGCTTCTCCGCCAGGAATTTGCCTGCTGCACTGGTAGGCAAATTCTGCTCCCATAGCTAGACCAGGGTAAATATTCTGAAAATAACGAAATAATTGTGATTAGAGAAAACGAAATTATTCACATCGTAATCATATGTATATATATATATATATATATATATATATATATATGTGTGTGTATATATATATATATATATATATATATATATATTTATTTATTTATTTATCTTGAAGTAAAAACACGTTTATAATATGTGTATAATCGTATACACATATTTATTTAACTTAAGTAATACAAAAATTATATGCAATGTGTAATTAAGGTGTCCATACGTCCCAGCTTTCCCGGACCATACGTCCAGGATTCTCACACTGTGTACCAGGTTTTTCTGAAAACAATATTTGTCCCGGATTTAAATCTTTTGTCTCGGATTTCAATCTTTTGTCCTGTATTGTCCCGGATTTTCAACAAATATAGGTTTAATTTAAAACTTTACACTGACTTGATAATAAAATTAAAATTATCCAATAAATATTTGAAAATGGTATATATACCATACCAATTTCAAACTTTCATATCCAATTTTACGAAAAAGTATAAAGCTTGCAAAAATCATGAAATCAAACTTTTTGAGCGCCTAGCACAAATGTAAATTTTTGCTAAGAGATAATATTTACGGAAAAAAAACTAAACAAAATTTTATACTAAAGTTAAAACCAAAAAAATATAAGATACAATTGAATATCAAACCCATATTATTTTATTGAATATTAAACCCGGCTATTTTTATTAAAAAACATTTAATAAAAAAAAACTCATTTTTATTGTAACCCTATTGTATTTGTTATTGTAAATCATATTTAAGAGAATCAACATATTTGACACCTACCCCCCCCCCCCGCATCTTGTTCCAGATTAACAAACCTAAAAGTTGCTGCACTGGTTTTGGTATGGAAAAATATGGTCACCTATGTTATAATAAAAAAACTGTTTTTTAGATATATCGTTCAGTTTCTAAAATTTTCTTCACTATATAATTCTCAAACCTTTCAAGTACCACTCCAAATCTATCCATTCATATTAATAATACTCTCTTTAAATATCATATTACTATATAATTTGAATGGAAGTGTAAATGACACACTGATAAACAGGCAAACTAGTCGTATTGGATTAAGCATTGTAATTTTTTTTTCATATGATAATCATCCTCCAGATAAATGAGCTTCAAGTCCTCAAAATATTTTTAGGATAGACTAGGCAGTGATGATCAATGATTAGATTTGTTTCGCAAAAACTTGTTTATGAATAATTATTTATAAACGTTATTTATAAATTTTAATTAATATTGAAGAGAATTCACCCATACAGAACGTTCTAATAGTCATCTTTTAAAAAGTTAACTAGTGGGGTGTATGGCATCGTGCCTTAAGGCAAATTGTTGGAACTTCCCGTACCGTAACGAAATGTTCGAAGAATTTTGAATGTTTTCAAATAGATTATTATAAATAAATATTGTAACATTGTCTAATATTTATAAGAATTATATAAACTAAATTGCAAAGCTGAAATTATTTGTTTAAAGTATATTAGAACTATAGTCAGAATTAAAAATGAAATCTGGATTATTTTCGATATACAAAATATTTTTTTTGAAAGACAAGCAGAAAGTTATTTGAATCATTTAAATCTGACGCTTAGTTCTTTCAAAAGCTGCCATTGTATACTCATTTAGCTCCGTATCTTCGAAATCGTTGGGCCTACTTTTGCCACTAATAAGCACTTCTCCCAATCATTACTAATTGAATGTTTTTTAGATCATTCAAATCGGATGCTCCGTTCTCTCAAAAACTCGATTTTTATTTTCTGCACTCTTTGCTCTTTATCTCCGTAACTGCTGGACCTGCCTTCGCCAAAATCAGTACATCTTCCCATCAATAGGAATCGGTTGATCGTTTGATTGAACCATTCAAATCGGTTAATCCGTATGCCCGAAAACGTGACTGGAAATTTGTATCCATACATACATACACACACACATCCATTTTTTCTGAGGTAAGCCAAAATGTTCAGAAACCTTCACAACGTCGAGAAATGTAAAAATTTTCAATTTCGATTTTCGGCCCATTATAATAACTTACCCTACGGGAAGTTAAAAAAGTAAAGTAATAATTAAGGTTATGGCAAATTTTCTGAGTATGTTATATGCAGTATGTCATCAAATCTGATTAACGAATGGAGTAGTATTGTATATAATATTAGAATAACCCATGTTCACCGGTGTTTAACCAACCCAGGTAAATTATATAGGGGCAATGCGATTTGGTCTTCTTGCTGCAAAGTGACTCCCTAGGCATTAGGGTCTACAACTTATCAACAGATGGGCTACGTGTCCTTTATGCTGAAACGCACGCTGCAGAATGTTCTCCAAGCAAGGTTAGTCCGGTCTGTTCCGACCCCAAAGCATACTTACCTGGCGTGGAGGTTACCGTGATCAACAAGGCGGTTCCTCCAGGGCGAGGTCTGGCCATTGCACTGAGGTCGGATTGACCCCTGCGATTGTCCCTAATGTGGATAACTCGGGCGCGCAATTTTTGGTAGTCGGGACTGCGTACGCGCTGTCCCGGTAATAAATCTCATCAATTTAAGTAAAGTAAAAATACATATATATTGAACGGTCCAATGAACAGAGTAGCAATGGTGGTCTAAACTAAAGTGCATGTGCGGACGTATGTATGTATGTACGAGTGTATGTATAGGTGCCCGTATGTGTGTTTGTGTAAAATAACATAGTTTAACATTATTATGTTACATTACAATATAATTAACTGTATATATATATATATATATACTAGTAGACGAATGGGCTGCTAGTTACTTTGAAATATATATATATATATATATATATATATATATATATATATATATATTATATACATACATATTACTCATTATTTTATTGTACACAAATATATTATTCGCTAACAACAAAAAGAATAACGCTTTTCTACTTTTGTCAAAATTATTAAGATATCGTATGCCATTAACAGTAAATAATTAAAATATAAGTCAACGCGGACAATGTGTTTCCTTCTTTTTTGAAAATTAATACAATAACAAACAATAGTGATAGGGTTAGTACGTTATCATGAGATAGTGATTTATTATACAAAATTAATTAATAATAATAATAATAATAAATAAATATATTTCATTGAATATATATGTGTACATAATATTTCTTATTTCGGATTTTTACCCGTAGGTATATTATCCTTCATATTTGTTCTATCAATACAATAAGTATTTCAGATATACAAGATTAATTAATGATTGAAATTGAATATAAATTCAACCATAAACGCATCCAAGTATAATTCAGTTTACGAAAATATTTACATCGCGATGCTTCCAAAAAAAAACTAGTGGAATGCATGGCATCGTGCCTTAAGGCAAATTGCTGGAACTTCCCGTACCGTAATTAAAAATCTTGGTACGAAACCCCAAAAAAAAAACACAAAATGTGTACACATTATTAGAATCTCTATAAAATATCTGATAATTTGATGTAGATATGCCCAATAAACATTTTTGAATGCCAAATGACATTTTTTAACTTACTTTTATTGAGAGTCCATAACCGCTGGACCTGACGTCCCAAAAATTTAATCAGTTCTTCATTTCGTCAATACAAGTAAAGTATTTTTTGAATTATTAAAATCGGACGCTCCGTTCTCTTAAAAACTGAGTTACCGTTTTTGGCACTTTTTGCTTCGTATTTTCGAAACGGCCAGATCTGCCTTTGCCAAAAACTAATCAGCATGTCTTCTTATCAATACAAATTGAATTTTTTTCTAATTATTCAAATCGGTTGGTCGGTGTTCCCAAAATCGTCGACAAAAATTTGTATCCGCACACACACACACTGTACATACCCACACACATATACATCTATTTTATCTAAGGTATGCCAAAATATTCAGCAACCTTTGAAACGTAAAGATGTATAAAAATTTTCATTTTCGATTTGTTTGCGATTACTTTAACTTACTCTACGGGAAGTTAATAATGAAATTAATGATTTTTTTTCTCCTTTTTTGTCCTTATTTAATGTATTAAATATTATATAAATATATAGACAATGATGTAAAACTAGAAATTTTAAGGTAGAATACCCCAGGGTAGAAAACTCATATGTAATTCACTGTATTTACCAAAATATTGAATAAATTTTTATTTCTGTCTGTAAGTCGCAAACTCCGTAAAAAATTAATGATTTCAAATGAAGAATAATTTTATTAAAAAATATAAAATAACTATTCTATTACCTGTAAATAGTGAGCCAGGAACATCCCTGATGAATTTATGATATTAGGATTGCACACTGTACACGATAATGTGTAAGTTTCCTTTCGATAATCTGCTGAAACCTGGGCTCCTGCGACTTTACTATTTTGAATGAGAGTTGATATTTTGCATCGAATTCTGTCTGTCAGCTGATGAACAATATTGGCATTTAGATTACCCTGGAAAAAATTAGAAAAAAATATTTTAAACACAGAACTGATTACTAAATTAATGACAACACCAATTAGTTGGATTTGTAAACACATTCTCCTTTAAAATTTGTATATCTCAAATATCTTATAATATTAACCCTTTCCACTCGTATTGCGAGATTTATATGTATTTTACCGCCGAAGCAGCGGCGTCTGAGTGAAAAGGGTTAAATAGTCTTATAGCTCTTACTTAGAACTCATACTTTTTAAATTATACAACATTTAATAAGCCCGTAGAATTATTTACATTTGGATATTGAGATTTTAAATAACTCGTAATTGAAATACGAACTATATAATTTCTTTTACTTTAGTATGTGATTTTGCAGATTATGAAAATACTAAAGCCCGCATTTCAACTACAAATTATTCAAAATTTCAAGGTCAAAAAATAAATAATCCTACGGACTTATTGAATGATGTGTTACATAAAACTTCAATATATTTCAAAATTAAAATTAAATATTTAAAATGAATATTACTGATAATTCTCAACCTATTAATAAGAAGCATCACAAACAATAAGTTAATACATGTGACCCTTTTATTCACAGGTATTTGTGGATTACTACACTTAATTATTTTTGGTTGAATTACTTTTGACCCGCAAAATTATTTTAAAAGTTACTTATTAGCCAGCTTTTACTAATCAAAATGCATATTATTTCCTTTATAATACCTGTGGATCAATATCTCCAAAAAGAACAGGAAAGCTCTCAGTCGGCGAGAACTGTTTCAAGCCAACATAAGTGCTGCCAAATCTGTATCCACTTGCCCCAGTATTAGCCCCCAGATTGACAGTATGGGAAATCTGAAAATTATTACTTAGCATTTTATTCAAAATGATTTTTCCTCCTTCGAACGTCACAGGCATGACATCCTTGCACAATTTATGGAGTTCTTCAAAGGTCCCAGGATTATTATCAGGCGGTTTGCTCTCGGCCTGTTGCAAATGCTGTCCATTATTAATAAATTCATTATCGACGAATCCATTACCAATGTCATCGAACAGTGGATCCTTGAGTTTTTCGCTTTTTGCGAGCACTGATCCCATGTTTTTTAAACTTGACGATACAGGTTTTATATTTTATACTTTTAGGTATTGTTTTACACAAAAAATAGTTTACTAGTTATTAAATCAATCCACGAATGATAGAAATACGCTCGCGTTCTTTTGTTTCTGATGTCATGATTGCCAACATATGTCACTATTTCGGTTGATTTAAATTGCTGAAACTGAGCAAATATTTAATGATTTATTTATGATTGCATGACTTAACAAAATGTATGAAGGTAATAAACTAAACTTTTAAATCTGCACTTTGAATTTTTTTATAAATTTTCAAACGTAACGGTTACTTTTAATTTAAATATAGTCACTGTGTTCTAAAACAATTATTTTATGATAAACTAAACGCATACCTTGATTTCAAAAATGTTAACTCAATTTACTACTTATTCATACAAAATGAAATACTATTTGGCATACCTCATAACTGATAAGTTAATAAATTCCATAAAGTGAGTAATTTTTTTTATAATATAATAACATCATTTAAATAAATTTGAAAAAAGTACTGCTAATTACTCATCCTAGTAAAATATACCAACTAAAATCTACCTACATATCTATTATTGATATATATGTTATATGTTTGTGTGTATATTGGTATATATACATACATATACACACACACATATATATATATATATATATATATATATATATATATGAATTTATATACGGGAGACATGATTACAATCTAATCGCAAAAATTTCTTACAATTAGAAATTAATATAAGACGTAGATAAAAAATAATAAACTAAAAAAAGTCAAATCAAACAATATTACTTAATGCTAAAATAAATTATGCATACAAAATGCTATTATTTTATAGACATTGAAATAATACATATATTCATACAAAAAGCTATTATTTTAATAGGCGTTGAAATAATAATATATGCATTATTTTAGCGTCTATAAAAATAATAGCTTTTTGTATGAATATATGTATTATTTTAACGTCTATTAAAATAATAGCATTTTCTATGCATTGAAAGAGAAATTAAAAGCTACTCCAGTTTAACAATAAGTATAATATTGTTTGATTTGATTTGCTTATAATATATTCTTTTAATATATTATAAACTATAAAATTCCAAAATTACAATGGACTGTACAGGCTATATGATTTGCGGTTTAGTAACTGAAAATTATACATCATTAAAGTATATATTTTAATATTTATTTGAAAATTAATGTATGTATTTTGAAAAATAATGTTTGTGAAATAATATGTATTATATTAGTAGTATGGATTATACTAACGAAAATTTATAACTAATAACGATGGTCTGTAAAAAGCATTTTTTTTTTAATTTTTTATTATAAATCCCGGTCTCCCCTAGTAATACCTGACTTGCGCAAAGTATCTTATAATAAGTACCCCTTGTGTGTCTGATTTAACAATCCTACAATACACAGTATAAGTCCTTTCATTAAACTATCAGACCTCGGATATTGAACATCCATGGGAGATAAACACTTTGATAGCTAACAGTCTTAATTTGTGGTACGCAGGTTCATTTGGTACATCATCACAATTATTTAATTCAGTCTAAGGTAAGTGAATTTTTATATTTTTATTCCAATTTTAATCAAATGGTAGTTTCAAGTTTATAAATATACGATTTTAATATTTTTCTAAATGTCCGCATGCAAATATATCTGTAAGCCTGTGTGATCCGCTTTTTGTATCCAAAATTTTATAAGTTTCAATCATTTATTTTGAGAATATTATTTTTTTCAATAATAATCCTCTATATAAGACGGTTGTTTCTCGATTGATTTTGCTATGTATTTTGACAAAACATTTTTATTTATTTATTTATTTATTGTTTTAACAGAAATCAGATTAATCTTCTGTCTTGATAAGCTATCTATTGAACATTAAATACTCAATATTCTATTAGAGGCAACCTATCATTTTCCTACCAGACAAAACATAATGCACTTTTCTATCGTGTGTTCATAAATTTATTTAAAATTTTCAAATTTTTCTAATATTTTCTTGTTTGAATCATTTTGGGTAAATAGAGAGTCTTATATATAGTACAATAAACAATTCGTTTATGATTTTCGTATAATAAAATAAATAAATTTTCATATAAAAAAGTTATACAATTCGTACTAATAAATATCAGCAATAGGTTCTTTATTACTGATTTTATATTAAATATTAATAAAGTTCATTTTGTAACGTATTTTTTTAAGATGTGGCTTCAAGTATCAATGGTAACTGTGCTCTGCGTTTTACTGGATTTAGCAGAAACAATCGCTAACAACCGAGATCTTGAAACGATTTTTAGGGAAAGGTAAGAGTATTCAAGAAAATATCTTAACAGATCATTTTCGTTATAAATATATAGACCAGTCATTTAAACTTAAATTAGGTAAGAATCTAGGAATTCGAGATACCTAGCTGTAATCCTGTAAATACCTTAAAATAGCACCCTAACAGTTGTCTCCAAACCTACATATGGAACGTACACCCTGCCATATGTAGATTTTGAGACAACTTGTAGGGTGCTATTTTAGGGTATTTACAGACTTACAGTTGGGTATCTCGAATTCCCAGGTGAACTTACAAAAATCAAATTAATCACAATTTATGAATAGAAAACGCCTTTTCAACGTAAACTATATATCGCAACTTTGATAAACTAACACATTTCTTACAGTTATTTAAATTTCCCAGAATATTTATTACAAATAATTCAAAATTTCTGATTTGTAGATCTGATGAAGATTGGGGCGATGCTTGGCATAAAGAAACGCATTCCAGGTGTAGAGAACATTTGATGCGCCACATGTACTGGGCATGCGAGAAGGACATTTATAGAATATCTCGGAGATCAGTTCCGGAACATCACAGGGAGAAGAAAATTCCAGGTAACTAAAAATATAATTCATATATATGAAAATAAAAGATAATTATATTATTGTGCTTGGAATGATTCCCAAAACATAATAACATCGTGTAGAATAAATTGTTGCAACCGCAAAACAAATAGAATAGGTCTGTATTTTTTCTTTTCGTTTAAGACATCATTATTTTGGCGTATTTCAAAAAAAGTGCGTGTACGAACAGTCCTAAAAACATTACATTCCTATACCGACATGGGCAGACTTTGGGATCCTCATGAGACTGACCTGATTTGTATACTGTGTAGTCCAGTCATTATAGTAAGTTCACCTCGGAATTTGAGATACCCAGCTGTAAATACTCTGTAAATTCACCCTAAGAGTTGTCTCAAAACCTACATATGGTGGGGTGTACGTACCATATGTAGGTTACGAGACAACTTTTAGTGTGTATTTACTGAGTATTTACAAACTTGCAGCTGGGTATCTCGAATTCCGAGATTCTTACCTAATTTAAGCTTAAATGACTGGACTAGTGCTGATTTTTTCTAAAATAGAACCAAATAGTGCATCTTGGGCTAAAAATCAATATGTGACGTATACATATAACAAACTACAAAAAAATATTATTAAACTTAGGTCATAATAGAAATAACCAAATGAAGGAACGAATGTGAGTAAAGTTTGGAAAGTGAAAACAATGATATGGTTAATACGAAAACAAAAAGGAGTATCTCCCAAACCCTAATTTTGTCGACGTCCTTACGCGGTCTAGCGCCATCACTCCACGCCGCAAAATAATTCGACTCTTAACACGTGCAGATATAATATTTTCTATATAATTAACTTCCCGTAGGGCAAGTTAAAGTAATTTCAAATATTAGATTGTCGATATAATTACAGAAAGTGAGTAAATATTTTAATCGTAACTATGAATTTCAGTCGCTTTTCCTTGGATTGGTGCCGAGATGTCCCTTCGCATGGTTCGATCAAGACGGTCAGCCCGCATCAGAGGAGGCGGCGGACCGAGGGTCCCGCCTTCGATAACCTCCGAGTGCTGCAACGCCGTGGGTTGCACTTGGGAAGAATATGCTGAATACTGTCCAAATAATAAACGCATCAATCAATTTGTCTAATTTCGAATTAATTTCATAACCGAATTGGTATATTGCAAATTATTTATCACAAGATATAAGTTCACAGGATAAAATTATATTATTTTTCGAATGAAAAGATGAAGATACTTACAGAGCGTAGGATTATTTGTTCTCATATTATTCGGTAGAGCTTCTGGTCAGTACTTAATTTTGATCTTTCAATCCAATTTTCGAGTTTGTTGTAAAGTAAACATGATTTTGTTAATCCTGCTGAATTAATTAAATATATATTTATATATGTTTTTTAAAAAAAATAATCCAAGTATAATAGCAAATAGGCGTTATTAAAATGGGTATATAAAATTCCTTTTCTTACGTAAACACATAGGTACACGCATGTTTTTAATTTTCTCTAAAATTATTTTACTTTATGTATAACATTGAAATAAATATTTCACTCTTGTTAAAATGAATAGTTTTAAGTATTTCAATTTTTAATTTAAATTCTGATAAGTTATATAATATTATAATTTACTATAAAAGTTTTATAATAATGTTGTATTAATTGCTGCATCATTTTGTTCTTAAGTCAAAAAGATTAGTGTTATTAAATTTCAATGCTTTCGAATATCTTTCAAAAGTATATATTTTTGTGAACATAAGTCTTTAAATCTTCTATATGGTTTTTGTGATATTCAATTCAATTTAACTAGTTGCTGCATTAACCATAACAATTATTGTATGCATTTAAACAGTGAATAAAGCAATGCACTAAGAATGATTTTTTTTTAATTATTCATGTTATTCATAAAATAAAAATCGTCATTCCTAAAAATTTAACTCTAATTATATTAAATTTGGCTGAAGAATGGTAAAACAAACATATTACCTAGTAATACATTCAATTAAACTTAGATAAGTGTTTAATTGAAGTAAATATTAATTTAATTTACTCATTATTTTGCTGGTAGAATTAATTAAAATGTTTAGAATTCAACACGACGCAACTTTTTTGCGCATATCTTTAAAACTTGCGAATAATTATTATTTTTAAATTGTATATGAAAAAAATTGGTTGATTTCAATAATTTCGTAGAAACTTGAGAATAAGACTATATTTCAATAAATATTTGTTCATTTTCTTTTCTTTTTATACAATCCTTTGGTACCTTCACTTAAACATAAGAAATATTTATAAAAACACAAAACACTATACATCACCCCCATAGCACAATATAAAGATGTTAATAGTAAAGGTAAAAACGGCAATTTTTCTTTAAATATTATTTTATGTAAAAAATTCTCATAAATAAATAAAAATCCTAGACCATAAATGTACATACTCTCCAAAATATTTAATAAAGGTAAACATAATCGATTTTTGTTGCTCTCTGGAAATAATTGAGATAAAAACTTAAAAGCTATACCCGAATAACTAATAAAAATTAATGCTTTCGGCAACAATAATTCATTTGTAAATAATAAAGGAAACAACGAATAATGACCAATTGTCGATAACATTAAAAATATTTTGGCGTCTTCTTTTTCCAACACCGCTGATATACTGAAATAAATTATTTAAAATATTATAATATAAAGATTTTATTCTATATGTGATTAAATCATTTTACCTCATAGGAATAATTAACATCAAAATAGCTTTTTCATGAACATGCCATCCGAATAAGAAAGAACAAGCACCGCAAATCACTAAGCATCGAATAAATTGCAGAGGCGATATCACAATCGGGGTTTTGCTAAAAATCATATAAATTTATTACATTACATGTATACCTCTTCTTCAAATTATCATTTAGTAAATATCATCGTAATATAAGTTATAATTATTTGTTAAATGTTGTGTACTACAATATATCAAACCCTCACTATACTCAGCAGTGCGTTTGTGCGTTTAAATCAGGTACAAAATATACATTCAGTAATTCAGTGATTGGAAAAGAAATAACCCAAAATCTCAGAAATAACAAAATTGCTATAGTCAATCTACATTGACAAACCGATTTCTAAAAAAACCCCAACAAATTAAGCGGATGCTTTGGAGCAAAGAATATACTGTGCATATTTTTACTGTTAAAACATTGCAAGTTCATTTACTTCTATACAATAAACATACTTACTTGAATCTGATAATTCTCCATAATTTAATTAAAGCTGGCACGATAGTTATAAATGTTAAATAGAATGTAATTGAAGGTGTTATTGTTGGCAATGTTGTGTGAACAACATCCTCTACTAAACCTCCAGTCATTGTCGCAGTACTATTAGAAACAGAATATCCAAGTTTTTTTGCTGTAACAAAATTTGCATTCATTTTATATAAAGAAGAAAATGATCCAAGTCCAAATAACTATTACCACATAAATTTTCAATATCGTACCAGTAATAGTGGAAGCCTTATCAGCTACATTATAAATTGCCCAAAAATTTGGGGCCCAATATGCATGGCATAATCCACGTTTAAATGGAAATAGTCTCGCCATAACCTGATAATCATAATTATATTTGTCATCAACAAAAATAAATTAGCTAGTCGCTTCATAGTACTTACTTGAGAAATTTGTCTAATGAACGGACCAAAAGATACTGTGCAAGTAATGAATCCTATCAATACTAATTTTGATATTCGTTTTGCAGTTTTAGACAAATCAAAATTTCCTTGCAGACAATAACTGCCTAATAAATAAACCACATAAGCTGGAGCCACATATGCAAAAATGTGCTTCAAATTCAATAAAATACTGAACCATAAAGCGGACATCAAATATTGTTCCTATAATAGAAATTAAAAGCCTCAAGTTAATTATTTGTATATTCTTCATAATTTTTAATAAAATAAATAAAAGTATTAATTTTTACCTTCATTATGCAAGAAATTGATAATAGCAGTATCCCATATAGCATTCCATTATATTGAAAATGTATGTGATCAACCATAAATAAACCTGCATTGCACAATATTAAAACTGCCAGAAAAGTTTTAGGCTGTGAGTTACTTTTACCTAATGAATTACTACACCTGAAACAATATAAAGCATTGCATATAAAAAAAATAGTTAAACTTAACTCTACTATAAAATATTTACTCTCGAGTTCCAAATAGCAGCAAAAGATCTGTTACCATTACTGATAATCTTTGGAAAAGCACGGTCATATCAGATGCATAATTTAAATTTTTCACGTTTAGCATGTTTGGGTCAAAATATTTTGCTATATGCGATAACATAAACTCGAACCATGCAAAAAATGGAGGGTAATCTAATGTCCATTCTGAGGTGTTCTCGAAGTACCATAAATAAATTGGTTTACTATGTGTTATTGCTAACCAATTCCTATGGACTTCAAAATCTGTCGAACGACTAGAAAGGTAAAAAAGAGAAGTAATTGAATTATGACAAATTAAATACTAGGCACCATGATAAATGGTATTGAGATTGATAATGATTTGACACCAAATTGAGATTGATTGTTAATTATTTCAAACTTTGTAATTTGAAATAAGTGTTATAAATTACTGCATATGCTTTATTTAGCATAGTAAAACAATTTAAAAGATTCTAATTATTTGTCTATAAATTCTAATAGAAATTTGTGAAATCAATGTCTTATTAATTCATGTTCCTTTATATTTGGAATACTAAAAATTTGCTATTTGCATAGGAATTTTGTTAAAAATAATAAACATATTATATAACTTGATATCTTATAGCTTTATAATATACAATATTTGTAAGAAGGTTTAAAAGGCCGGCTTAAAAGACTTATACTATTATAATCCTTACTATGCAGGTATAAACAAAAATTTTACACAAGTTATTAAAATAAATATTATCCATATCATGATTAAATTTTTAAAATTTAGTCAACATTTAATATTAACGTGGATCCACGTTGTTTGTCACTAATGTTAATTGATATCTAAAAACAAATCTAAAAATTAGAAGCGTGTCAAAACTTAGGTTATGTTTTTGACATTTTGGCGTCCTTTCTTTTTGACATTTGTATATTTTGAAATTGAAAATTAAGTAATTCGACTTGATTATTGCAAAATATGAACTAAAATTGATACAAAATATGTAATATGAAATGTAGTTCTCAGCTCCCTATCTTTAAAACATAATTCATGAGAATATATGTTTGATAAATACATAATTGTTTGAAATTTTGTAAGATGCCTAGATGAAAGAACGCTAATGTTTGTAGGGTATATACAATGGTTTAAAGGTAAATAATAAATTATTTAAATCTTCATTGACAATTTTCACACTAATTTTTGTAACATAGATAAGATAATTTCTATTAATGATCACAAATAGTTGCAAGTTACACTAGATAATTTGACCATGCTTTTAATCTGAAAGAGAATTGCCCGTTTAAAAATATTCCTTAGAAGATACAATCAATTTTTACTACTACCATATATAAAATATGGAAATCAAATTCCTAAATGTAGATGTAATAATGAATATATAAAAAATGAATTATTTACTCGTCTTTAATAAAATTATTCTTTTATTATAGATGGCTGTGCTTCACAGAGCATTATTCACCTGGTTTATATTGCTAGTGTTTTTAATTCTTTTATGCCTGAGACTCGAGACAAGAACTCATTGGAATTGGTTCATAGTATTTATCCCCATGTGGTGCTATGATGGAATACTATTGATATATGTACTATTTCAAATGATACAGCAATGCAATGCTTGCACAGAACGAATAAGAAATTCATTGAGTAAAAATATTTGGTATATGGCAGCCATACTCTTGAAAATGGCTGCACAAATAACTATATGCTTGAAATTAGAATATCCTAAATTAAATCTTCCTATTTATTTAGTTTTAAGTCCTTTATGGATTTTGTTGCCAGCTTTAATTGTTGATGTGTTTTTATTTTTAGTAAGAGGTAGTAATAGGTATTAAAGGCTTTATATAAACTTTTTTAATAAATAATCATCACTAAATTGTTAATAATTTATTTATTTTTTTAGCTTACAGATACTTTGGATGTGTTAATTAAACTATTATCACTGTCTTTTGAAAATTCCAAATCTTCATCGTCTTCATCATCTTCGACCTCCATTTCATATATTCTTATTTTCTTTTTGGTCTGAGATATTAATATTGCAACTTTTCTAGTCGATGATACTGCAAAGTCATTACATAACATGTTTTCAATCAATCTTATACTACAAGCGTCTATTATATCAAAAGCATTATATCTAGGAAGCATATTTTTTTCAACAATTATCGTTCCAGTCTCTTTATTGATATTTTTAATATTTACAAATTTATCTTTTAGCATCAGTATATTTAATTGTAGAAATATGCAGTTTTGTTTCACTGTTTGTTGGTGCAATAAAACTGAACAAATCTCAGATGAGTAGAATTGCATATTTACGGGCTTTAAATTGGGTAAATTTTTTGGCAATTTACTATCACTAAATGAAGATGGTGGTTTAAAATGGACACACACTGCTTTTGTTTCTTTACTTGAAACATCATATTGAACAATGTATAATCCATCATCATTTTCTGATTTGTCCATACAAGCTATTAAAACAGAGCCTTTTCCGGGGATATTGACTTGATCCACAAGTAGGTTTTCACAGTCGGATAATCCAATAAAGTTAATATTACCCTCATTTATAAAGTTGCTTCCAATTAATTCAAGTGGCTTTTCAAATACTTTTTGAATTGACTTTATGAACTGGTTGTGTTCTTGAATTAAAGAGTGATTTTCGTGATGTTCAATTATAGATGAGTGCATTGATAAGCATGAATTTTGTTTCAAAAATTCATGCCATGGATTTTTGTCAAAAACAGGAGGAATGGTTAAATAGTTGTCTGTTAAATATTGGCCTAGTCGCTCCAAATTAAATGGACGCACTTTTATTGTTTCATCTTTATTGTTTGGATTTTCTACATAACCATCAATATTATCCAAAAACTCAGCTATATATTTAATTTCCTGTTGAGACATTTCTGCAAAATCATGAGGCACTCTTTCATCCATTAATCTAACAATTACAACATAAAGCCAGCGAAAGAATGCCTTGTAATTTTTCATGGAGTGATCTATAACCTGCTGAACTTCACCAATTTTTACCAGAAATGAACCAATGTCTTTCAAGGCTTGTGTAACTAAATTTTCATTCAATCCTAAAGCCTCATAAATGTAAGTTAATCTAGCCATTCCTCTTAAATCTGATATGTGGTACACCAAAGCTTGTCCAACAGTATTCAAATTTTTTAAGACCAATTTTTGTATAGTAGAATAGCTAATTTCAATAGATGCTCCCATTTTTTTCAGTCCTTTCTCTGTTAAATCATGCAAAAGGAATGCTTGCAATTCTATTGATGCTGTGCCAAACATCAATAAATCTAAAAAGTCTGCTGAAACACCACCTTCTGGTACGCACGCAGAATATTTTTCTAACTTTTTATCCATTTCTAATAATGCCGTTTCCCAAGCTTCTACTATACAATTAATAGTATTTTGCATATAGTACATTAAGTGAATTATGTGACCATGCTTTAGTGCTAATACATGAAGTTCTTTGGAATAAATATTTAGTGTAGAAGTTTTAAGAATTACAGTATTTACTTTATTAGCTGCTTTATAAGATACATACATATACTCGAATGATTCTGACAATTTAGCATCAATTACTACTGGATTTTCATGTTTGGTAAATTTTTTAAGGTCGATAATTCCACAAGGAAATAGTCCAAAAACACTAATGTATACTAAACCATTTAAAAGACCAACTATTAATATGTTCAAAGTAGTCTGGTCTTTAAGATATTTTGAATCAGAACTCATTTCTACTTTTTTATTTGAATAGCTCGTTGAGAGTGATGGTAATCTTGGTAAAAATGTGGTGTGATCATGCTGAAAAAGATTATATTAATGTAAAATAGTAACAGAAGGATATCATAAACATCTATTATTTTCTAAAGAGTTTAAAAAAATTATTACATATAATGATTTAATTTCTCAATAAAACTTGTAAGCAAATATATGTTTAAATCAAATTTTTATTATACTAACTATTGTTTCTGTAGAACTTTTGTTGGCGTCTGCTGTATCATTTTGATTTGTTTGATCAGCTTGTTGAGACCAATTTAAACAACTTATTTGACCATCAACAGTAAAGCTATGAACTAATTCCTTGTTTTCAACATCAATTAAAATGATTTCTCCTGAAGTATAAGCTACGGCTATAACTTTTCCATCAGGTCTCCACACTATATCTTGAACGATTTGTCCTTCTAGCGTAGGAGGCAAATTCCAAACTCTTTGCCAATTTAATCTATGGAGAGCAACTTCTCCTGGAATATATAAAAATATTATTATTTATATTCTCTCATCCTATTTAGAACATATCAATAGTTTTCCATTTGTCTTTTACAAAACACGAACCTTTATTATTTGATATTGCCATTAAATCTAGTCTAGTGCACCAGGATGTGACATCAATTTCATTGACCACTATCCTTTCCTCTATTTCTTTCATAGCATAAAGAGACATATTGTTAGTTTTTAAACTCTTATAATTAAAATAATACTTAAGACTATATACAAATAAATATTTTATTGTGTCTAAATAACCACACGAAGCTAATTTATGATAATATCACATTTCTTTGTCATACCAACATACGACGCTCAACCGAGAATAAAAAAAGTGTAACAACATTGAAAGACAAAAAACCTATGTGCGTCAAACAAAACTGTCAAACAAAAAAACAAAACTGTCAAACGTCAAAATAGTACACCCATTGTTATATTGTCTCTCACCTCTCACCTCTCACATTTAGACACCTTTTAGACAGTTACATAGAAATCCCAATTGTAAGTATATAATTATTTACGAAAGCGGTTCTTTTACATTTACATGGTCATACATTGTCTCTTCACAACCAATATTATTTCAGGGAACCAAACATATAGTTATTCAAAACCTAGTACAGTTTTGTTAGAAATTATTAGGAAATTTTTAATTAGGGCTTCGCAGAGTGTTTTAGTATAGTTATTTTATTTACCCAGGTAAATGTTATTCAGGTTGTTTTTGTTTGCTTAGTGTGTTTTAATTCTATTGTAGGGTTCACTGAATTAAGATTAGGACTTCAGCCTGAACATCAAAATAGCTACAAGAGTCTTGTAGCATGTAACATCTGATTATTAGAACTTAACTCATATGTATGGATGTATATATATATATATATATATATATATATATATATTACATGCTAGCATATGTATAGTAATGTAATAAACTTAAGTTCAGTCCGATATTTTTGCCTATTTTTATCTTTAAGTGATCTGATTACTTTTTCTAACAATGATTAACATAGGTAATAAGAAACACAATTAAAACCATCTATTTCATCAAATATTTTTATTCAAAATATATACACATACTATTTACAATATAAAGCATGTCACAGGAAACATGTAATAAATAATATAGAATAAATATAAATAACATAGAATAAATATAAATAATATAGAATAAATATAAACATTGAAATTAAACATAAAAAAGAGAAAAGAATTGCATTTTGAAGAAATGATTAGCCAAACCAAAGTTAAACCGAACAATAAATGAAAACTGAATTTTAAAATTTAAATGGAAGTATGGACAGAAACCTTGTTATATAACTTCCACCAACCGAAAAACCGTATTTTTTGTAGAAGTTATTAATAAAACAAAAATGTATTTAGTTTTATAATCATACAAGTCAATTAAAAATTTACCCTTGATATGTTCTTTCAGGCTCTTATCTAACGAAATAAATTTTATATCTTGACTGTGTCCCATATGTGTCTTCCAAAATTCAACATGAACTGTTCCATTGTGATTAATAGTACAACTAATCCTTGATGGGCAAGCATATCCGGTTTTGTTGCTCGTTTTAGTAAACAAGCGTACAGTGGGTTTTTGGTCATATGTATATGACCTGTGGCAATCGAAATAAATTGTCTTGTCATCAGTTTTTGATTTATATCCTGAATTGCATTTTACATAATGCGAAAACTCCTTCCGCTCTATGTCTGTTTTCCACAATTCAAAATCTACAAAGTCAAAAATGTAGGTAATTGTGTAATTAGGGTTATAAATTATGAGAGAGAAGACTTCAAACCTTTAATGTTTTGAAACACAAACTGTTCATAATCAATTGTAGTTTTGTGATAAAACTCAATATGATCGTATAAACCTGTGTACCTAGAAAAAACAGAGGAGCAGGGAGGGAGTGGACATCTTATTCTGGATTTCCTTGATGGTGTACCTACAAAAATGATTTATATGTAACACAATAATAAATAAGATGAATGTACATATATAAAAGCACTACATACCTATAAAATTTTCCTTAGTACTGATTGGGGAACTGGGAATGGGAGGCGTGTGAATTTGAACTTTAGTAGAGGAAGTACAAGGATGTGGCGATAAACTTACGTGGAAATGTTTGTGAAGACGATCTGATATGGAAGGAGCAGAGATAAAAGATGAGCAAGCAGAAAGTGGACATCTTAGTTTCTCTTTTGTTGATGGTGTACCTACAAAAATGATTTATATGTAACACAATAATAAATAAAATGAATGTACATATTTTAAGCTAGCTTTATTCTAGCATTAATTAATTAATAAAACACCTTTTACTTCATACAACACATTTAATAATTCACCAAATTAACACAACGCCGAACTGTTCAACACTCCAGTTACCGCCAGACACCGACTCGCACACAGATACATACTTCTGTTCCGTAAGGGATCAGACACTCTACATATGACACACCATAGAGCACATACACGTCAGGATAGACACTCTTGGCCGTTATATTCAAATGACAGACATACAATATTATAGTTCGGCCAATCCTGACCTCACAGGCGTCCCCGACTGATGAGATCTAATACAACAGTAATCTAAATCTAATATTACAACACAAATCATAAAACCATTACAACATAAATCATATTTCATTCACTTATTGTCTCTACCAACTTTGTCGCCATCACTTATTGTCCTTATACGCCTATTATTTTTATACACTTATTTAATTTTAGTTCTAGCTTATTTCTACGAATCATCTCTAACACCCTACGCAACACTTCAATATTCTCCTCAATTGTTTCTGTGGCCATTAGTAAATCGTTCATGTACACTATAACTTCACAGTTCATCACAAAACAACGAAAAATGTCACTTACATATCTCATAGATACATTCGGGCTATTACAATACCCAAATGGCATACGGTTGTATTCATATTCTCCCTGTGCACACCCCAAGCTAGTGTATTTTCTACTAGTCTCAGCCACCACCACATGAAAGAAAGCGTTCTCCAGATCTAGCTTCGTAAAATACCTCTTAGACTTCGGTGAGTCCAAGCAATCATCTATTCTTGGGCTGGGGTAAGAATCGCGCACCACCCGTTTTTCAGTCTCCAAATATTCCTCTCTTACCAGATCTCCTATTGTCGCGACCACCCCATAGCCATGCATTTCAAATGCAGTCTCTGGCTCTTCCCGTTTTTCAGTCTCCAAATCTTCTGCCGTCGCTATCGCTCCATAGCCATGCATTTCGAATGCAGTCTCTGTTTCTTCCGGCTTTTCACTCTCCAAATATTCCTTTTCTACCAGATCTTCTGCTGTCGCTATCACTCCATAGTCATGCATTTCGAATGCAGTCTCTGGTTCCTCCGGTTTTTCACTCTCCAGGTCTTCTACTGTCGCTACCACTTCGTAGTCATTTTCATCTGATATATTTATATTTGCTCCGTCTGTGGTAATCTCACCATCAATCGCCAATATTTCGTTAACTCGAAATGTAGTGCTGTCAGGCGCCACCTGCGCCGTACTCCGGACATTTTTGCAGAATCTCTGCTGATGCTCCTTTGAGCCACAGTCGTAGCACGCCACTCCATCGTTCTTCGGTTTGATGCACCTGGACGCCATATGTCCCACTCCGCCACAATTAAAACACCTCACCGTAGGATATGTGCCTTGTGTTTCCACTCTAGGAAACACTGTTGGCTGTACCCTCGTAGGCGGCATCATATTGCATCCGCGTTCCTCCGCTGTCAACTCATTCATTACACCTAGCAGAGTTGCTAAATCCTTAAATTGGCTCATCTTGACTTGAGCCTGGAGTGGCGGGTTGTCGAAGCCGTCTATCATATAAGCCAGTAGATCGGACTCCATAAAACCCAACCTATTCCCTAGCGCCATCTTCTCCTGAAAGTATGCGCTAAACGGTTCCTGTTTTCGCCACCTCCGAGACTCAAAGCGCTTCATTCTAGTCATCCTGTCTTCTCCATTTTTGAAAAACGCTGTTAGCACCCTCTTCAGCTCGTCGTATGAATATGTCGCATACTCTGCCTTGCTGTCATATAATCGCCTCGCCCGCCCCGACAGCTTCGATGTTATCAGCACCGCCATCTTTTTCTTAGGCACCTCGTATGCATGCCGGACGGCGTCAACCCGTTCAAACCACGCCTCGATGCATTGCTCGGACGACCCGTCGAATATCGGTATCGTCGCCAATAACTCGCTGCTCGAGATGCTATCGTTTTTATTACTGGTTGTCGCCCTAATAAGATTAATCAAGTCCGTCAACGATAGCACTCTTACGGCTTCGGGCACCAAGCTCTCAGCATCACCGCCAGTAGCCATCTCACCAAATCTTATTTTATTTTTGTAATCTCCAGTTTTTAATTACACACATCGCAGTTCCGCGACTCGCCAACGTCAATATTACGCCCTGCTTTTGATATTTTCTCTCCACTCTGTTCTTATTCTGGTTACCCACGTGCTAACCTCACTTTAGCACAACAACACAAACACACAAAACTTACAAATAACACCTGCACCTGTACGATAGCGAAGCACACCTTGCTTTCTATCGCACCCCGTAATTATAACCCGCCTGATTAATAACACGGGCACTCAAAAAAAAGATTATTGAAATCGCCTATTTCAATAATCCACACCAATAATGTTCTCTAATAAAATTCTCCACGTTTTGATCCTATCCCACTTCTGAGCTTTAAGCTAGCTTTATTCTAGCATTAATTAATTAATAAAACACCTTTTACTTCATACAACACATTTAATAATTCACCAAATTAACACAACGCCGAACTGTTCAACACTCCAGTTACCGCCAGACACCGACTCGCACACAGATACATACTTCTGTTCCGTAAGGGATCAGACACTCTACATATGACACACCATAGAGCACATACACGTCAGGATAGACACTCTTGGCCGTTATATTCAAATGACAGACATACAATATTATAATATATAAAAGCACTACATACCTGTAAAATTTTCCTTAGAACTGATTGGGGAACTGGGAGTGGGAGGCGTGTGAATTTGAACTTTAATAGAGGAAGTGCAAGGATGCGGCGATAAACTTACGTGGGGATGTTTGTGAAGAGGATCTGATGTGGGTGAAAGTAAATTGTAAGGTGATGTCAAACATGTAGTAGTATATGAGGTGGGTAAAGAAGGATGCTTTATATTTGTTTTAGTGGAGGAGGAAAGGTGTGTAATGTCTTCAAAAGATACCAAAGAAGATTGGGCAAGTGAAGGGTTAGGGATATTATTATGAACTTGGCTCACATGATGAGTTAATAAATATTTAAATTTAAAAGTTTTAAGGCAGAAAGCACACGCATTGGGATAAACAGCTCTTGGCTCTTTGTCATGTTTTTGTCTCATGTGGCGATACAAGGAGCTACGAGCAGTGAATGGAATCTGACACTCGGTACAGAAAAAGTCGCTGTCCATGTTGTCACATAAGTAAAGTAATAAAGTGAAATATAAAATAAAAGTAATGAAGGTAATAAAACGTATCGTAATAAATGTAAAGAAAATTAGAAGCGAAAAAGTAAATATATAAAGTGAGTATCTAAATGATATTAATTCTAAACTAAATATAAACTTAAATGAGCAAAATCTAAAAATAAGCTTATAAAATAGAATGTAACCTAATGTAAACGAACAAAATCTAAAAATAAGCTTATAAAATAGAATGTAACCTGAAGTGAAATAAAAGTAAGTATCTAAATAGTAAAAATATGAAACGAAAAATAAACTTACGCAAGCTAAGTAAAAATCTAAAAAAACACGTAACTAAACTAAAAAGTAAAAAATCCTAAAAAACACTTATTGTAACTATGAAATATGAAAAATAAGCATGAATTATAATAAGAGGCTTACTAGAGCAAAAAAAGCAACGCAAGGAAAGCGATCCAGAGCAAAAAAACGAAAAACCGAACCGAAATATGTGAAAAAAACTGTTATAAACAAATAAAAAAAATAATAGAATTAGAAATAGCAACAGAACGAAAGAATTCTAATTACACGAAAAGAAAAAGCAGAAAATATAATAAAACGCTTACTTGAAACGAAACCGACGCGACGCGACAAAAATGAGAAAAGAACGCGGGACTAAATATTCCACGAAATGACAGGTTATGCTCTATCCCGGAGCCAACTTCAGAGCGTAGGTGCTTTTTAAACGTCAAAACCCATCTGTCATGTATCAGAATTTAGTGGCTCCTCTAAATAACCGTCAATTCAAAGATGTCAAATCGAAAAGAGAAAGGGTGACAGGTGTCATTTTTGACAGATTTGGATTGTTCTGTACCAACACTAGTGGGAGAAATGTTTTTGACAGAATGTCATAATAAAAATTTAGACAAAACATTATATTTTGCAAATATTCTAATTTTATATAAATAGATATGGTATAAATATATAAAAATGCATTTTTAACAAAAGAAAAATATTTAAAGATCAAGTGAGAATTGTTGGAATAAGCCTTACAAAAGTAAACAGAAATATGACAGTTTGACAGATTGATTGTAGCCGCACGTGGTCAATAATTAGGAGGTTATTCAAACGTCAATATTTGTTATTTATTTATGTTCTGTTTGTAAAAATATTTAAACATTTATTCGATAATTGTAAATGCACCAAAAACGTTAAATACTAGGTAATTACAGTTTAAATTTAGTCTAAATTTTTGTATAAATGTACACATAGTTCAATATAATATGCAAAGTCTTAAATGACAATTAATATAAATATTTTTAGGTGATATATAATAATTGCAAAGTGACTCTGTAATCCAATAATGCTATATATTTCATAATACGACATAACAATGAAGACAACTAAACCAAATTCACTTTTCTCTCCTGCCAATTGGGATAATGACGTCATACAAGAAAGTGGTACATCAACAGAACCAAATGTGAAATGCAAATTATTAGAAAGAATTAAAAGCAAATACACATCAACAAATGCAAATACTTCTAAAGATAAAACACCTAAAACTCGGTTAGACATGGCCGAAGACTCATTTGTAATAAACACGAACAATTTATCTTCATCAAAACGCAGAAGGCGTCAAATGAAAAAACTTAAAAGGTTAGAAAATACTAAAACGGGTGCCAAAAGCAATGATAAAGTTAAAGAACAGAAAGATGAACGAACTTTGAGTAAGCTGAAAAAAATATTGCATCAAACAGACTCTCCTTCTAAAGAGGATCAGCAAATGTCATTTCGTGAAAAACTTTGGGAGAAACTCAAAGGTAAATTTGGAGAACTATATATATATATATATATATATATATATATATATATATATATATATATATGTTTATTGCAAAAAAAATAGAAATGTATTAATATTTTTAGGATCACGATTTCGATATCTTAATGAACAAATGTATACATCAAAAGGAAATGATACACAAAAAATGTTTCAAAAAGACCCTAGTGCTTTTGAGGCTTACCACGAAGGATTTAGGCATCAAGTTTTGAAATGGCCACTCAATCCACTTGATAAAATAATCAATGAAGTTAACCAAATGTAAATATTTCAAATTTCAACAATCTCGTTTGAATGTAGAAAACTTATTAATTAATAAATAATTATTAATTACAGGCCTTCTTCATACATTATTGCTGATTTTGGTTGTGGCGAGGCAAAATTAGCTTCATCTGTTCCTCAAGAAGTTAAATCTTTTGATTTAGTGGCACTGAATGAGAATGTAATAGCTTGCGATATGGCAAATGTTCCATTGAAGTCCAGTTCAGTAGATGTAGTTGTTTTCTGTCTGTCCTTAATGGGTGTAAATATTAAAGATTATTTGTTGGAAGCTTCAAGAGTTTTGAAGATTGGGTATGTATAAACTTACTAGCAAATATAATGTAAAAAATTAACTAATATATGATTGATTACTATTTTATTTTTCAGAGGTACAGTGAAAATTGCTGAAGTGTCTAGTCGATTTACTGATGTAAATAATTTCATAAAGTTGGTTACAAAGTATGGGTACAAATTATTGAGTAAGAACTTATCCCATGATATGTTCTATTTTATGGATTTCAAAAAGGTTTCAGTTCCTAACAAATCAAAGGTACCAATAATAGAATTAAAGTCATGCATGTATAAAAAACGATAATAAATAATAAAATATGAATAATAAAAATTGTCTCTATTATAACAATATATTCCTCAGATATTTTATCTTAGTTATGGCCAGTATAAGGCTTTAGTGACATTTTTTATTTCTTACGACGCTTCTATGCTTCCGTAATATTTTAAATGTCTTTCTTTTTAAATTTAAATGCACAAATATTATTTTTATTTTTAAAGAATGATTCTTTCTAACTTTAAAGAACACTATTTTTAAATTTTATTATTCGATTATTAAATTCCTGAAGGAGAAGATTATGTTTATTAAGAAATAGGTTTTGCTTATTTTATTATTTATATAATTTATTGAAAAATTTCCTGTCATTCTGAATCTTTTGAAATGAAAAATGAAAAAATATTTACTTTTATTCAATGCTTTAAAAATCGTTTGAAATTCAATAACGATGATTGGCTGTTCCTCTATAATTAGCACTTGCAAAATATTCGTCAACGTTTTTGCCAAAATTTTCAACTGTTATTAAAAAACTTTCCAAAGATATGAGTTAGGAGTCGTGTTTTTTTCTTCATAATTAATTGTTAACATTTTTGTTTTTACGATTTTTGACGAAACTTTGCATAGCGATCGAGTGCACGACTTTCCTCAAAACATCCTGAAATATTATAGGACTATTATTAATTATAAAAAAGCATAAGTTTATTATCTATTAGAATAGTTTTAGGTATAAGTTTTTTTATAACTATTATTATTTTATTTTCCTAAATTAAAAGTCTTCTTTGTTTTTCGCAAAATTATCAAATTTTTTATTTATTCATATTTCCTACGTTCTGGGGATATGGTATTTTCCCTTCTTCAGAAACTTTCAATGACTTTTAATTCAATTTTTTTTAATAATATCTCAATAAAAAACAAATTTACATTCACTAAAAATTATGGGACTGAATATTTCTATATATTTACAATGATTTAGAATATTTTTTAGTTATTTTCAACAAGAATTTTTAGTTCAAGCACAATTCGATTTTTAGTGCGAGTTTATTAAAAAAAAAAGTCGAAAAGTATAATGAGACAGAGACTGATAATGAGATAATGAGATACTGATAATGCGACGTATAATCATGCACTAATATCTACAAGTGCCTTGCATCATAGATTGAATTTAAATATTATATAAGTAATTTTAATTACGATTTAAATATTCTATACAATTTAGCACTTACTTAGATATAGATAAAGTAATCATGGAAAGTATGTAGAGTCCCATACCGTGTTTATCCCATACTTTGGAATAAAATATCCCAATGTATCCAAGCGGCACATACAAATGGAATAGCACTCAGCAAAATGTGTTTTCCCTTATGTTTCTGAGGCGTTCCCTGCAACAGATCTCCATACAATTAAATAATACATGAAGATGAAAGTGGGAAGATTTGACGTTATTGTTATGACTGAAAACATTGTGATGTTTCTAAAGTAACTCCAATTCGGCGGTTTTTACGACTCCGAGAGCGATGTCTTTTTTACATGCATATATATGTAAATATTCAACTAAGTGTATGTTCGGTAATAGTACTAAAGTTGGTGTACATTTTAAGGCATATGCGGGAAGAATATTTATATCTAAGAGCTCAAGACATTCACGACAAAAAGTAATTGATGTTATAGCACTGAAGTTTTTTTTACCTTATTGCAGCGCTAATAAAATCAAATCAATTTTCATGTTGCTGTTTGCTCATTTTAGCATGAATTTTTATTCACTTTCTGTTAGCATTCTGTAATTTGTTTCACGTGTACCATTTGATGAAATATTTACATATTAATATTTTTATAGTAATTAATATCCTGTGTATTACATTTATATAAACAAATTTGATTTCTGCGATCAGAGTCTGTTGATAAATCATTTTATTTTGTTTTAGGTCGCTTTAAAGCTTTTAGCTACCTGCAATATTATTTTTTATATGATATATGACGTTGGAAAGTCATTGATTTTTTTCAATATTAATTTTTCTCAACGTTTTATTCATATAAATAATGTTTTTATTTTCATATGCTACTTACTTACTTTTTTGCGCAGTTATGTCTGACTTTTTTCACTTGAAATAATTTTTTGCTTTATTTTTTACCATCTCATGTTAAGTTTTTAATCTATGTAAGTACATAATGCGGAATTAGAAATTGCTACCTTGGGATTGAAAGGCAGGAAAGGTTCTTAACAACTTGAGCAACGTACTTCCCTATTTTGTTAGAGTCGCGACTTAAATATAATTTTTATTTGTACATTTTAAGTTTCAGAATGTAAAAACATTCTTATATTGTGTAACATAATACATTTTGTAACTTTTGCAAAGAGTATGATGAACCTGTATGTACTCAAAAAACATGTCGCATAAGTCGTTAGCAAATCTCTTAATGTTTATTAATAATATATTATTTTAATTTACTGAAAAATTTTACTTTGAATATCTAAATCTTAAAAGGAAATAAATTCGACTAGTATTTGTCAAATTGTTGCATACTTTTCGTCAGCTCTCACCTTTTCAGATGTTCTCATGTGAACATGGTACAATAAGAGTGATTGCGTCATAAATTTTAGAAGAACGCCGATGTAAAAGATGTTGTGCTTTTTATTGTTTTCCTAAATGTAGATATTATTTAAAGCCACATATGCTGGCTGCAAATTAAATATAAAAAAAATTGCATACATTAATTTTTTTGATTTTGTAAACAGTCGGTTACTTCATTATACATAGTGATATTTAAAAAATCCATTTAGATTAGTTGTTAGAGTACTACTTAATGAGATAAGTTGATTTCTTTATTCCATGTTAGCCTCAAAAATGAACGAAACGTATGTGTACATCAAATTTATAGTTTTTCATTACTTCAGTTTTTTTATGTTTAATCTGAATCAATTATTCAATGAGTATGTATGTTTTTTTTCATCTATTCCAAAATATATTTTATATATCATAAGCATTAGAAATCATGTGTTAGTGTGAGTTTTGTCTTCTCATAAATAGCTTCAAGAGTTTCATAAATAACTCGCGTTATTAGTTTTGAAAGGCAATCAAAGTTTCTTTATAGTGTGTTAAATATAAAAATTGGTCTACGATTTAAAAAAAAACTTAAACTGATTTTGGACATTCAAAACCCGTTTCAAAGATCTTTAGGAAAATTCAATTTTAGTTATTTGAAGTCTAACCAGCTATTTGAGAAAATAAACTACTAATTTTTTTTGAACAATTTAAAATATACCACAAATATTTTTATTTCTGTTAACATTCACATGTACTATTGGTGATCGACTGAGCAATTTTCTCACAATTACAGTTACAGATTCAAAATGTTTTTGGATTTTTGGAAATTGTGAATGCCAAATGTCTTAATTGGAAATTTAAAATACAACTAAGTAATTCTAAATTCAATTTAAATACCTCAGTTGAAAATTGATTTGTTAATTTTGTGGAAATATCGTTTGGAACATAGATTCCATCAGTTAATAATTTTTTGGGTGGTTTGTAAAAATTTTACTAAAAAAACAAAATATTTTAACTAAATAAACATAGAAAACATATTTTCTTTTGTAATTTTGAAATATTCAAAAATTGTTTATAGTCCAGTCATTTTAAGCTTAAATTAGGTAACAATCTCGGAATTCGATATACCCAGTGGTAAGTCTGTAAATACTTGTAACATTACCATATATACATCCTACCATATGTAGGTTTTGAGACAACTTTTAAATGTCAATATACAAGTATTCACAGACTTACAGCTGGGTATCTCGAATTTCGAGGTGAACTTACTATAATGACTGGATTATTAGCAAATCTCAATTCTTGTTGGCCAATTGAATTATTTTCACTCATCGGAAAGTTATTGCATAAATGCAAACACTTTACGCTTACGCATACTTTTTATCATATGAAGTTTGTTAATTAATCGTGTAATTAAATAAATTAATTAATCACACGTGTCCTTTTCTATTGAGCACTATATCGCGTCAAAAACTACCAAAATGCATCAGAGATCAGAGATCATGCCTGAAATGAAACTTTGGCCAGCTGTCGGGCTATACGAGTGCAGATACAAACGTTCGTTGTTTTACAAGCGGATTTTGTGATTTTAACGAAGAGATCTCTGACACACATACACATTTGCACAACGACTTGCCAATTATAATTGGCTTAATCTCCATCAGATGATATACAGACATAAGCGCATAAGCGTCGTATTGGCTTTCTAACACCATGGGGCACGGGTGCATTCGGGAATGGATCGAGGAGGATTTCAATATTTTATCACATTATGGATGCGATAAATTATAAAACATAACATAAACCACTTAGGTTTCAGGTTTGGTCACTAAACTTAGCAAATGTTATTAACAGGACTATAATTTTTGCACTATTTAAACGTAAAACAATAAAAAAAACTTCCCATAGGGTAAGTTATAGTAATCGCAAAAAATCTAAAATGAAAATTTTTGTATATCTTAACTTTTTAAAGGTTTCTGAAGATCTTGGCATACCTTAGAAAAAATTGATGTATGTGTGTATAGATACAAATTTTTGTCGATGATTTTGGGAACGCGGTTCAACCGATCTAATTTTTTTTTTTAATTACAATATTTGTTACAACTGCTAAATAATATAACATCTAGTAATATAAGTGAATAATAACATAAATATAAATAAAATAGAGTACAAAAACCGATATAAATGATTTAAAAAAACATTCGATTCCTATTGATAAGGGGGTGTCCATTAATTCCTCCCTCGCGAACATCACGTGTATTTCTTTTTACGAGAAATAGATGTAAAATTTTAGATTTTTTTTTAAATGTTTGGATTTTTGGAAAAATTCAGGTAAATAATAAATACACGTGATACCCCTCTCTTCCCCACGTGATATTTCTTGATTAACAGGCCCTCTAAGGAGACATGCTGATTAGTTTTTCATCGTTTCGAACATACAGGGCAAAAAGTGTCAAAAACTTAGTAATTCAGTTTTGCGTACGATTT